AATTGTATAATGTCGTCAGTTTTCGCCGTTGTCATATACTCTACTGCATTTTGTAGCATTTACTTGTGTTTCATGCAATTTATTTGATTTCCTGTTGTATTGTACTGGTGAGCAGTAGGTTTTGGGTTGCAGAGGTATTTACACTTGGGTTTCAAATGCCATAAGTAGTGTTGGACAATAGGCTCAAATTCAGAGCAGCTCTGCACTTGAGGTGAATTCAACTGCTTATCTAGTTGTTCACTTCTGTTATACAAAATTGCCTATTTTTTGACATATGTTAAATGCTGACTGAGAATCCTCTTGTAATTGCGCGTATTTTCATTTGTTTCTTATATGTTAGTAAGCTTTAAGAGTACCTCAACCCCTCTCGTTCCGAAGCTTGCCTCTGCAGCGGAGTATTTTTTTTAAAATGGGCGTTGAAGGAAAGAGATTTCGTCCCACTGTGAGATCTCCGTAGACTGCATGACTTTTTTTTTTGGGAGGTTTTATTGTTTTATGAAAGATCGTGTTAGAGAAGTATTGCGTGGCAAGATGTATGTTGTAAATATGATTTGCCAAACTTTATTCCCTCATTTTTTTAACAAAAATCTAGTTATGCTGACGTGCCACAGTGTATAACTTCCTAAAGTTGAAGAATGAAATTGATACTAACATGCAAAGAAGCTATTGCCTGTTATTTTCTTGTAATTTAGTTGATTTATCAATTGCCTCCTTTTTCAGTAGTCATTATTTTTGTTTCTGCAACATTAATATGGGATGAGAGAAACATATTGATTTATCAAGCATTGGTCATTTTTTTTTTTTTGTATGTGCAAATGTTTAAGACCCCAAAAAAAGGTGTTTTTTGTTGGATTTTTTTTAACTTTTTTAGCTCTAATATATGCAGGTTTTATTGTTGATGGCAACAACTTTAAATGTACCTGTGCCAAGGCAACTATCTGAGGCTGCCGTTGATAAATTATCCACAGAGTTGCGTTCGAGACAACAATGTATAGCTGAGATCACAGAGATGATTCATGTTAGTGCTTTCTCTTTTGTCCTTGAAGTAGTACCTATATCTGTTTGCTTCTTGGTTAGTAACTATTAACATATTATCATAGGTTGCGCTTGAACGTGGTGAGGAAGGAAGATGCTTTTCATAGAATGCAAACAACTGAGTGTACTGGCTAGATATAAAATAATCAATCAAAGCCGTAGTAAATCAAAATAATAAGTAAGAAAATGAGTTCCAAGCTCTATTCAATCCGAAGGGCGGTATTTCAATTAAATAAAGGATTTTTTATTCTTGCCCCAGGCTCGCCCTTTACTATTCTGTGAGTCCAAATCAAAGAGTTGAAAGTCCTTCTTTCCAGTCACATTTCCCAAATAAACACACTTGTAGCCCCTAGGTTCATACTTAGACTTATGAGGTGCTACCCTTGCTGCATATGCCAAGCAC